GCTACATGGGCTCATGAGGAAGTAAGAGACACCCCTGGCATTCAGAAGAAGCATTGTTTCATGGTGCCTCCTCCTAGCTCTCCATTCACAGCGGTGCAAATGCTTAGTTAAAAATGTCAATCAATAATGGCTAACAATCCTGAAGTTCTGAGTTTGATTCCTCAGAAGCTATGGAAAGGTAAAAGGAGACAACTGACTTCACAAAGTTGTCCTCTGATCTCCACATAGTCACCATGGCACTACAATGGTTCTCAAACTGTGGGTTGCAACACCTTTGGTCACATATCAAATATTTACATTATGATTCATAACAGTAGCAAAATTACAGTTATGAAGTAGCAATGAAATAATTTTATGGTTAGGGTCACCACAACATGAAGAACTGTATCAAAGGATTGCAGCATTAGAAAGGTTGAGAACCACTGGCTTACATACACACACACACACACACACACACACACACATACATACATACACACACACATACACCATGTGTACACATATAAATACTAATTAAAAAATGTAAATACACTGGGGAGCTCTCTAATGGAATCTGATGCCCTTTTCTGGTGTGCATGAAAACAGAGCATTCATACACATAAAATAATTTAAATGTAAATAAACTCAACACCAGGAAATGGAGGCAAAGTCAGCAGCATAGTAAGTTTCAGGCCAACCTTAGATCCTGAGATACAAGAACCCCCCCCCCCCATCAAAATGTGTCAGTGAACCAAGAACTCTATTCTGACAATTGGCCCTTAGTGACTCAGTCCTTTTGCTCTGGAACAATTTCTATTTAATGTTTTCCTCTGCATCTTTTCAGAAGAAACCCATGCATACTCAGACAAATACTTCGTTATCTCCTGTTTTAAACCCCATCTCAATAAAACAAACAAGCAAACAAACAAGCCTGTGGTACCTTTTACAATCTCTGTGCTTGCATTTTGGTGGTGATAACAAGTGTTTAGAGATCCTTCTGTCCGATGTGATTTACTGTAATTCAATAACCCAGTCCATGAACTGATATATCTGCTATTTTTGTTTTTCTTTTTGAGACAGGCTCTCCCTATGTAGCTCAGGATGGCCTAAAACTCATGATCCTCCCACCTTCATTTCTGGAGCACTAAAAGTATAAGTTTGTATCACAACTCTAGCATTCAGTATTTTTTAAAAAAAATCTCAAGCTGAATGAAGTAAAGATCACCCTTTTAAGTCTCCAGCTCAACTGATTCTAGTAAACATAGTTGATGGTTTAATTATGTTAAAGACAAAGAGCAGACTCATCACCCCCTCAGAATTCACTAGAATATTCTGAGATGCTCATCCTAAATAGCTGGTGGTTGCTGATGGCTTCTATGGCATGTCTTTTCTCAAATATTACACAGAAGACAGCTGTTTGAACTTAGTATCTTTCACTAAACATATGTGCTTGTCAGATATGTGGCATGTCTCAAAATCCCAGCTCCTTTTTATTATCAATACCTCATGGAACACACCACAGTTCAACAGTTGTAAGATATTAGGGTATTTCCAAGTTGGGGCAGTTGTTACTAAATATGTCATCATTTCACACAGGCTTTTGTGTGGACGTTTTCACCAGTCTTGGATAAGCTCCCAGGATTGGGATCATAGATAGCATCAGAAACACAAGTGACTAATAAGCATTTGTAGAGCTGTGTTCCAAACTCTACCATGCCACTCACATAATGTCCTTGACAACACTCAGGATTGTCAATCTTTCTTCATTGACATTTATTCTTAGGGGGAGGCATGTGTCCATGTCACAGTGTGCATATGGAAGTCAAAGGATAACATCTGAGAATCTGCTCTCTCTTTCCACCATATTGGTGGGATCCAGGGTCCAAACTCAGGTTGTCAGGCTTGGTGGTAAGCACCGTTACACACTGAGTCATCTCATCAGTCCCATGTTTTGGTTTTATTTGAATCTGATTCTGTGCAATATCCTCATAAATAAGTCTTTTTCTATTAGCTGTTAATATCTCTATAAGATAGATGAGAACAAGAACAAGTAAGTTAAAGGGTAAGAAAGACTGATCTTGTCAAACAACTTCTGATGCCAGTCAGATGTCAATTTGCTCACCTACCAATTACTGTTGGTATTGCCTGCCTCCCACACCCTCAGCAACAGTGTTCAATGGGAATGAGTGTTTTATTTTTAAATTTTTACTATTTAAAGAGCTGGGATCTCATATTTTTTTAATATTTTTATTTATTTAACTTTATTTTATGTGCATTAGTGTGAAGGTGTCAGATCCCTTGGAATTACAGACAGTTGTGAGCTGTCATGTGGATGCTGGGAATTGAACCCAGGTCCTTTGGAAGAGCAGGCAATGTTCTTAACCACTGAGCCATCTCTCCAGCCCCCCTCATATGTTATTGTTGTGTAATTTTCCTAAGGAGATGTAAAAGAAATGTCTATTCATCCCAAATAGTGAAGAAGACAGACCAAAGAAACATTTTATTAAGTCCAGCTTGGTGAGTAAATGAGTCTACTAGGATTCCTCACAAAAGCCTTGAGTGATTCAAGGCAGGCACACCATTGCAAAAATCCTACTCTTCTTTAAAAAAACAAACAAACAAAAAAACCCTTTCATATATTTTAGATTTTAGCATTTCCAAGATTCCCTGTAGCTGGAGCAGGTATAACTGTTTATTTTGTTGCCATGGTTATAGTCTATAAATCACTATAGTACTCTGCTTCATGATGGTGATAATCATGTCATGCCCACAAGAAACAGCAACACTATGAATCTGAGCTCCTGGTTCAAGCAGTTTTCTTGTCAGCATACAGAGTAACTGCTCCTACAGACGTGCTACCACACCCAGCAACATCATGCTTTTAAGGGAAAATTTGAGATGACTACTGTGTGTCTATTTTTGGTAAGCATAATGATGGATGTCAATTAATGCATGGTGATTACAAGCAGTCAGTCGCATTCTACTTTGCCTCTGGACTTCCTCATCACTATAACCAGTAGTGCTGTTCTCACCTGTAGAATTTA